CCATAAGTTAGATACAGATGTCTAGGTAATTATTCAATTCTGTATACAGTAGGATTTGAACCCTAGACCTCTTGCATGGTGGTCTGGCAACCTAACCACTACACTAAGATCGCCAGACCTTAATATAAATAGTTAAATATATTAAACGTATTAATTAGTTACTATATAAATTAATAATTAGAGTATTTAAATAGATAACTTATAAACAAATTATAGATATAGTAATATAATATAAAACTAATCAGGTAGAGCATAGTAAACATTCAATTTGATTAGTTAATAAATATAAACAATAAATGTAATCATTAACTAATCAAATTAATCACAAAATATAATATATGAATAACTAATATATTTTTATTATAATCTAAGTAGTAATTTTATTTTATTCTAAACTATTACAACTCATATATACAAGATAAACTATTATAGTTTTATAAGATAAATTAAAACTTTTAGTTTATATAAGATAAACTATAGTACTAGAAGTTTATACTCAACAATTATACAAAGTATTTTTAAAGTATTATAATTTTTTAAATAGCTATAATTTTTTATCTAAGAAGTTTTCAAAAAATCTAACTAGTAACTTTATAGAGTTATATTAGCTCTACATATATACTAAATATCTTTTCAAAATTTTATCACTATAAAAAATTAATGTATTTTGAGTATTGAAATTTTATATATAAATTTATAAATTTATATATAAAATTTTAATTTTCAAAATATATCAACTCTTTACAATAATAAAATTTTGAAAAGATATTTAGCACATATATAGAGCTAATATAACTCTATAAAGTTACTAGTCAGATTTTTTTAAAACTTCTTAGATAAAAAATTATAGCTATTTAAAAAATTGAAATACTTTAAAAATACTTTATATAATTGTTAAATATAGATTTCTAGTATTATAAAATCTTTAGTTTATATAATACTAATTATTATTTATACATTATTAGATTATTTAATTATATCAGATATCTTTTAATCTATCTAATAGTTTAACTTTAATATTAAGCAATATATAAAATATAAGTATTAGTATAAACTTATTTAAAAAAATAATATATTAAAATCAGGAGCAAACTCACAACTCTCTCTGATAATCATCTAAACCAACTTTTCAAAAAGTTGAACTACAGAAAAACAATATAGTTAATATATTAACCTTCAAAAAAAACTTTTCTGAAGTACTGTACATATATAGTTGAATATTAAAATAGAGTTAAAAAAGAGATCATAGCTTTGTGAAACAGTTTAAAGCATTCTGAGACTATAGAAGAATTAGTTATGAAAGCTAAGATTTTTTTGTTTTAAATAAATAACAAAGTTAGATATATTAGTTCTATACAACTATAAAATCTACAAGGAATATCTGCAAAGATTTAAAGACTCACAAAAGCAACAAAGTTAGTTTACCTCTCATCTTTACTTTTTTTTGAGGATTTTGTAAAAAGTAGGTATTTCAGTTTACCTCCTTCTAAAGATTGACATGTAAAACTTTTAAAACAGTTAGCAGTATTTACTTCCTAAACAGATTTGTTAATGATTTAGGTCAAAAACAAAATAGTAATCTAAACACAACTATATATATACCTTGAAGATACTAAAACTTCAAAATACTGCTTCTGAACTAACTAGTAATCTATACTAACCTTCTACAATCAAGTCGATATTTTTTCTTTTCTACATAGTTTTTTGATAAATATTTTAATTAAATAAAAAAATTGTAGAGTTATTCTTATTTAGTATAGTCTATAATTTTTAAAGCCAATTATAGGCTTAAAATATGATTATCTGATATTTGTGAAATACAACTTTCACATTTTTTTTCTTTTTTTTTTATCTCTTTTTCCTTTTATTTCTTGATCTATATCTTTTATCGTTTACTTCTATACCTTTTTTTTTACGTACTTAAAAATTTTTTTTTTTTTTTGCTTTTTTATGAGAAGATATCATCAGATTAACAGTATCTTATTGTAGAGTAGCAGTCAGATGAAGTAGTCTATCTCTAATATAAATAGTGCAGCAGGTTATACTTAGACCCTATATAAGAACTAGGTAATGCTAAACTTAAGAAATTAGTTAAAATTCTTTGAAATTTGTATAGTTTTAAGAGATCTAATAAAGTATTAACATGACTACTAAAGATAAAAAAAATAAATAAAAAATAATATATTGAAATAATACGTATATTAAAATTATATATACAAAGTTTTTCAAATTTAAACCTTATATATAATACAAATTTTTTCTATTAATCATATTTTTGATATTTAGAACTTATCCTATTATGAATATAAGAATAAATAGTAAAATTATTCTCTTTTAAACAAAGTTTTTAGTGATACTAATCTATACTAATCTTTTTTGACAGAAGACATATTAAGAGTTAAAAAATACAAAGAAAGTTTTTTCTTTAAATTTTACTATATGAAACTATAAATTACCAATTAACAATATAAGCTTTTCATAGTAAGACTTATTTTAAAATTTTTTTTTTATATTGTGTAATATAGTGTTTTATGAGCCAATTAAATCGAATATTTATTATGCTATCAGGTAGTAATATATCTATGTAATAGACTACTTAAATTAAATAGTAACTAAAGTTGTAAATATAGCTTGATATATACATATTATATACTATAAAGTTCTGAATATAAACAATCTTAGAAAATAAGTAATATTAATATCTTATAAAATATTATTAAAAATAAAATAAAATAAGAAACTAAAAATTAAGTATCAAATTTAAACAACTCTTCTAAAATTTTGGAATAAAATAAATAACTTAGAGAGTTGCTTATTTTTAGAACTTTACAGTAATCATAAAACAAAAAAATCGTCCTTATGATACTTTATTAAGATTCATAAAATCCAATAATATAAAAAACTATTTTTAAATACTGTATTAAAAAAAATAAAATAAAAAAATAAAAAAATAACAAATAATTTATATAATTATTATTAAATTTTTAAAAAGTAAATCATAGTTGAAGGATTAAAAAAATACCAAATCTTATAATAAACAAAATCAGAATTTAATATAAACTTTCTATAATACAAGAATATAGCTAAATTACATATAAAAGTATTTTTTTTCTTTATTAAATTAACCTTCTTTTGGCTTCTGATAAAAGTTGTAAAGCTATGTTTTCTGATTCTAATGGTAACAAAATCATCAAAATCGGTTCAGTAGATCCCGAGATATTGGTATTTTTATTTTTTTTACTATACGATTTTTACTATTGCAAAAAACTTTCGGCATTCCACTTACTATATAAGGCAACTAGTAATGCCCGCCGATTTTTACTATGAAATTTATACCCATTAACTGTGGACTACCTCTTAATTAACTTTGTAATTTGCCAACCCTGACACATAGAGTAGCTCTACAATAATATTTCTCTATTAATAATATTTTACAAATTTTAATTGTTTTTAAAAATTTTTATTATTAGTACAGTATATTTTTTAAAATACCGTGCGATCATATAAAAAATGATCTACATATACTCTTAAATCTCTTCATCAACATAATTTGCCATGGGATCTTCATAACTATAAAAATATTAAAAAAAAGTTAAAAGACGAATAAATAAATTTTCAAAACTATCAAATAGTTATTACTTACGATTGTTTTTTCATTCGATATGCTTCTAACTCCTCTTCAGTAATTTCACAATCAACTTTATCGTGACCACCCATGTAAGCACTATTATAAGGCCGTTTTCTATCGTCAATGTTAAGATCGACTTTCTTTCGTTTATTTCGTTTATCTTCTTCATCCAATGCTTTTTTAAGTTTTTTAACGTCTAATTGAATATCACCCTCACCAAGATTTTTACGTTTTAGATGCTTATTCGTGTCATCAACGTTTTTAGATTTAGATTTTTTCATATTTTCGACGTGGATTTCAACAAGTGATTTTTTATTTGAAGACTCATCATCCTTAAGTTCGGAAGATGTCAAGAGATTGGATGAATTTGCAGCCTCGATACCAGCCAGACCAGTACAGTATGAATTTTTAATAAAAGAGCGACAACATTTATATCCCCAATTACCATCAGCCCAGTATGATCCCCATATAGAAGTATGATTATTTTTAAAAACTGAAAAATGAAATGATATAATAATAGAAATAATTAAAAATATAAATATACAAATAAAATGCACGTAAAAATTTTAAATACATACCATCCTCTTCGTATTTTGATTTTGCTACAGCTCGGTCTTGACCTTTTATTACTCTTCCGGTTCTTGAATATTCAACATATTGTTCAGTTTGAGCTAATAACAATTCTTTTGGTGGGGCATTCAAATGCTCTTCTCCACCATATTTAGCCAAAATTGAATCTTTGCTAGTATCTTTAAGCTTCTCTTTTTTTTGAAGATATTCTCGATGTAATAGTTCACCTTGAGTAGGATTTGCTTGTAAATGAACATCAGTGCCCTTTTCATAAGCTTGCCATGCAAAAAGCTGAAGATTTGCCATATTTGGGGCATCACCAGTATATCGTACAAAATTATCACCACCGTAAAAACTATCTTCGGCACCTATATCTTTATTTGGATTATCACGCATAGAGCGAGTTTTAGGATCATAATAAGCAGAATTTATATCCAAATTTCTCAAGTATTTGGCAGTATCTTCACGAATTCTCAAATTTCTAATAGTCGTTCTTGTTTTTGTATTAACTTTCTGTCCAGGCATATCAGACTTTTCAGCATATTTGTCTTCATCATCTTCCTCTTCTTCACTTGAAAATTCAGCAGCAATACGATCACCAGTCTTTTTAACAAGTTCAGTTGTACTTTGTTTATCAAGTTCATTAGCTTTCATTTTACGCCGAGCTTCCTCAATTTTTTCATATTCTTCATAAATCTTTGAATGTTCAGAAGGGTCATAACCATTCCATCGATCTCTTTTAGCATCATAATCTAAATCAATCTCTTGAATTATTTCATCAGCTTTTATATCTTGACCGGTCCATTTTGCACCAGTTTTCCTTGGACGGTCCATGCATTCTTTTGTTTTGTGTGTCATGGCACCGCAATTTTCGCAGGCACCTTTTCTATATTTCGTCACCGCAGGACCAGCGCGAAGGCCACGCGCATACCATTGAGAATTATCTTTATCTTTTGTTTCTGACTCATCAAGAATCCTCTGATGTTTTAAAGTTGGTCGTCCAGTGTCTAAATACCATGGTGCTTTGGCAATGTATTGGGGAATGTGAGGATTAATATCTTTTCCTTCTTCATCTTGTTCTGCAGGTGCGGTACCAGCTTTTCTTGCCGCTTCAAGATCTTTTTGACGGCGATAATCTTCACGACTTAATTTATTACTTGACGTAAAAGATAATGATAATGACATTTTTTTTCAACTGGAAAAAATAGTAACAGTAATAATTAAAAATTTAATTATACGTATCTGATATGAATATATAATATCATATGACTAGTGATTTGAACCGGTTGGGCTATAATTGGTTAACCGACCCGAATTGAATAAATTTCGGGTAACCAGCTGAGTAAATTCTTAATCGGTTGACCGGTTGAGTATCGGTAATCGGTTGACAGGATGTAAATGACGGAGCAAAGGGTTCGAGAACTTCCGAAAAGAAAATTTAGTAAGGTCCAAGAACTTCCGAAGGTAAAGTGTGAAGTAATCTTAATCGGTTGCAATCGGTTAACATTAAATATTTCGGTTCGGTTACCCGACTAAGGAATTTTTTCTCGGTTCAAATCACTACATATGACTAATCCAATACTTTTACCAGATTTGGGGTCGGTTAAAGCGGAGTTAATTTTAAATATCGTATTATCGTTATTGATTTCAATATATAAAAAATAACCTAAATGCATCAAAAAGTAACCCTAACTAAATCTCGCTCCGCACCTCATTTAGGGGATGGCTAAAGCCATGTCTTTTGCTATTTAATTAAAATTAGGGTTAGGGTGAGTTTAATATTAGAGTTAGAGTTAGAAATAGAGCGTATATAGAAAAATTGCCTTCCCGACATTTTTTATTAATACCCCAAGACAAGTTTAGACTACTGTTTTTGATATTTTTAATTTTAACTTTTCGTTCATTTTTTAATTTGTCGTACTGATTCGTGTTAGTGATTGATTTTGGTCGGCTGGCTTAGCCAGCCGACCAAAACATCTGCTAAATCTGCTAAGCGATTTTTCCTTATGCCGGTCATACTAATTCTTAATTCCGGCCACTAATTCTTAAGCCGGCCTAACTAATTTCTAATGCCGGGCCAAACTAATTCTTAATACCGGGCCAACTAATCCTTAATGCCGAGCCTAACTAATTCTTAATGCCG